TCCTCCAATTATTTCGCACCATTTTGCGTTAACGATTTTTGGATACCAATTGTGCTACAAATTAGGGTTAAAATGGTCTTGGGGCTTATTAATTAGCATCAATTGATGCAAAAAACTCGTCAACAGACAGACGGACAAGAGGAATTCAATAGCTCTCATGCTACGCAGGGTGAGCTAATAATAATAATAATATTTATTATACTGATTTATATGACCATGAGATAAGGTAACACTGATTAAGACTAAAGAAGGTAGCTCTAGCTTAACATTAAACTACAAATAAACTACATAGCATGTTTCAACAGTTTACATCCTATCTATCCCATCCCTTAACGTTTGCAGAAGTATTTATGACTAACTACAATAAGATGCATTAATTCTGGGACCATATAAGTACAGATATTATGGTGGTGGTGCGGGAGGAATAATTCAGTGATTCAAATAAAAGACGAAAAAAGATGCAGAGTTCGACATTGCATCAGATATAGGTACGTCAAAGTTTTTACAAAGAAAGTGTTCAAATCTAACACTCAATTGCACAAGGGAATCCCAGTGGCGCAACTATATTTTGGGGGCCCCTAGGCAAATCACCAAAAAAAGTTTTGTGTGTTTATGTGTTTTTTGCATTTTAGCATTTAAGATAATTTTTTTACATTCCAAAATTCGAAACGAAATATGCAGATTTGGGCTACAGAAGCTGATTAAACGTTTTAAAATTATATTTCAAATATTTTTTAAACATAAAATTTGTCAAAAATCTGCGTACTTATGTTTGTAGGTATTTGATAATCATTTGATTTTAAACTTCAAACATACACATACTAATTTTGAAAAAATAAAACTTACAATGAATAAGTTTAAGACCAATTAAATTCGTCGATCAGGATTTTCTTTAATTAATAAAAATTTTTAAATTTGTCAATAGTGTATGGTTAGCAGACGTGGGGGCCCCTGATGTCGCCGGGCCCCTAGTTCTTGCCTATATGCTAATTGCGCCACTGGGGAATCCCTCAAAATCGCAAAAGATTTTACATTCGTCGTGGAGAGAGAACGGCGAAAACCAGTGTCCTTCGAGAAACAACAATTATTTTCCTCTTGCATCATGGCTACCATTTTTCAGGGCGACCAGTATCCCTTCAGAATTAAAACGTTTTCCATAATACGACAATTTTCTTTGCTAGAAGCAAGGAATTAAAGCTCAGCAACAAGGATGGAATTTTGATGCGAAGCTGCAGATTCTTTGATTTCTACATATTAAATTACTCCTTCACAGGACTTCGGAATTTTACTACAATGTGTACCCAACTGGAGATCCTCTTCAAAGCAACTGTAAAGCATTGTCTTTTCCCAGTTTTTGCCAGGGTATGCTACCCCGTGTTTTTGAGGTTTTGGTGGGTTTTGGGCTAGTAAATTTCAGCAATACTACCTACAAAACGCAGGTAAAACCCCTGCGTGTGGGTTTTCAAAAGAAATACCCCGGGGTTTTCCTTACCCTGGTTTGTGCTAAACTTTAGAATGCAAAAAAATCGTCTTGGGCACTAAATATGTTTAAGGTCTAACTAAATTCCGTTCAATTAACCAGAAATCATGTGCTACCCTTACATACAAATAGGGCCTCAAAAATCGGACGTTTTTGAAAAACCGATTTTCCGATTATTAGGATTTTCGAATTGTGGTAAAACCGGTTTCCAATTAATCAGATTTTGGAAACTTCTACGAAACTGGTTTTAGATTAATCGAATTTTGGAAAATCGAAGGAAACAGGTGTTGGATTCTTTGTACAAACCGGTTTAAAGCCAATTTTTAAAATCGGTTTTATTGTAAATTGTAAAAAGTTTGCAAATATATGTAATAATCAAAGAATGCAAAATTAAAGTTAAAAACAAACTTGGGAATATGGGATTAAACCACAATTATAATTCTAGAAATAGTCAACATTAGCTACAAAAACGGTTGATTTTATTAAAAACCGCAAACCGTTTTTAGAGTGTATTTAAAAACCGGTTTTTTAGGAAAATTGTGAAACCGGTTTTTCACAATGCCGGTTCTTTGAAAATTATAAAACTAATTTTCGGTTAAATTGGAAACAAATTTTTTAGTTTTCTTACAAAACCGAAAAACCAAATTTGGATGCCCAGCTTTCAAACCCCTCGAGACTCATTTTCTGATCACGGAGTTCAATTCTATCTCTTTTCTTGAAATCAAATGTTAAGTACATGAGATCATGAGTTCGTGGAGCTTGGTATGAAATTGAAATTCTATATTTTGTATGACGCATAAACGCTCTCAAGAGGTAAAGGTCTATCCCCGTAAGAGAAGATTCGGGTTTAAAATAGTTAAATTGTTGATTAGAAACATCCAGCCTCGCAAATGAAACACGTCCGTCGTACACTTTTCGACACTTGATATGCATTTATCTTGAGGCGTGTGATAGAACAATTATATCTAGTGTATAGGGCGTGCCGGTACGGCCCATCGGGCCGTACGTCCTGGAGCCAGCGCTCCACCTAGAAGCATCGTCGGTACGGGCCTGGTCCAATGCATAAATTAATGTAGCGAACCCAGTTTATTAAATTTTGAAAAAATAACGGCATCACGAGAAAGCTCATAAAATTCTCTTCAGGATTTACCAACGAGTTTTTAAAATTTTCTCCTTTTGAAGCGACACCAGTCAGAAGTCTAAGCATCCGCATCTCACGCGGTACGCACGCGTTCAAAGGGATATCGATTTTTTTTTGGATTCTAAACTTACGTGGGGTTTAAGTCATGCATGCATGTAGCTTTCATTTGGACCACAGGTCATAGTCCAGCAGGCTATGCTTGGAGGATGCTTTATATTATAAAGAAAATTAATAATAATAAACTAATAATAATAATAAAATAATAATAATAATTTTTAGGCTGGGTAACAATTTTTGGCATTATTCGGGATTTACGTATTTGATTTCTAAATAAATTTGGTTTCCACAAGGATAGAAGTAGTGTTAAAATCAAAACAAATCCCTAGTTCGGAATAAAAAAGAACTTTCCATCGTAGGCCAAAAGTGAACTTTCTTTGGTAGGCAACAGTTCGTTACCACCGTAAAAGAAAGTAGAAATTCACAGAAAAAGGCCACAGACAAATATCAGTAAAAGTCCCTATAATGTTACTAATTGCCCTAGTAGCTCAGAGGTCAGAGCACTTGACATGAATTCAAGGGAGCCGTGGTTCGATTCCCGGCTGGGTAACAATTTTTGGCATTATTCGGGATTTACGTATTTGATTTCTAATAATAATATATTATATTATCTTGTGTATTTTAAACTTTTACCCAAATTTTCTTAAAAACTTTGGCGTTATTAATGGGTGTAATCAGTTTCATGTGTTTCTATACTATTCGGACAGTTTTCCTCTTCGTTTATTTTTTCTAATTCGGAAGATTATTTTTATTTTTAGCAGATATAACTATAAAACTGATTTTCCGTACGAAATTATACTTGATACAAAAGTCAAAGCCGGAAATTTACACCTTTTATGTATCCAGTACCGCCAATTGTTATGTCAAACGCCTTCCGCTCGAAGATAAAATTAGTTGGAGTTATTTTAGAAAGTTGTACTAGTTATTTTTGTTATTGAAATCCCCATGCAATTGTCTCAGAAATTATGTTTCGATAATTTTTGTGATCCAAGTTACCAAATTGATAGACTAGTGAAGATGAAAGGTTGCGATATTTTGGCAACATTTTGGTAAAGAAAAAAATTCGTGATTTTTTAATTGCTCAATTAAAATCGGAAATGAACGCAAGCTGGTCGACCGTACCATAAAATGACACACTGACACTGGCAGTGTTCATGAATGAAACAAAAGTGGAAGGCAAGGGTCAAAAATGTCACAAAAATGAATATGATTCGTAAAACCTGAATTTGGCCGAATCCATGCCGTACCCAAAGAAAAATTCCATCACAAATGAACAGATATAGTAAGACTACGTCCCGGGCCCTTAAATTGAACCGTTGGCTTATGTCTTTAAAATATGACGAGAAACACTTGTTAAGTGCACGTCAAGTAAAAATAGACGTATAAGAAGCTGGGCGCTGATTATGAGGTACGCAGTTGAACAATGGAAACAATTACCTTGAACAACTGACAATGCACATGTTTCGCACGGATCTTCTTGAAACCTGCACTAAAAAATCAAGGAACTAAACACAAACAACATTTGGTGTGACACTTGAGCACTTTTGCAGAGTTCGCAAAATGGCGAAGGTTTTAAGTTGGCAAAAACGCGGTTTTTAAACAAGCAAAACTATAGGGAGTTCAACTCTCCGCTTTATAAACTTCGCCAGGTCATCGGTTTTCGCCTTTCGTTCAAAATTTAGTTCATTAATTTCCCAACCAAGTTCTCATCCGATTTTTCATCTGTGGGTTTTAAATAATTTGATAACACTTTTTAATATTTAAAATAAAAATTAGTTATTATCAGTGAAATTTTGTAAGAATTCGTTCAGAATAGTTGATTCGATTTTCCTTTAAATTTCTTTCACATTGCATATTTATATTTCCACTTATAAGAAGTTAGTTGAATCCATTTTAAATCTTAAACAGTGTCAAAAAATTATGTAAAAGCCAAATATAAAAATCGGATGAGAACTTGGTCAGGAAATTAATTAATTAAATTTTGAGTGAAAATGAATGACCTGGTGAAGAGAAGCACAGGAGAAAAGCGGAGAGGTGAACTCCGTATAGTTTCGCATGGTGAAAATACGCGTTTTCGCCAAGTTAAAACCTTCATAACTTCGCGAATTCTGCAGAAGTGCTCAAATGTCATACTAACTATTGTGTGTTTAGTTCCTTAAGATTTTAGTGCTGGTTTCAAGAAGATCCGTGCGAAACATGTCTGACATGTACATTGTGAGCCAAATTTTGTGATTGAGGCCAAGTAAAATATCAAAAGAACCGGTAGGTAGGACACCCTGCGCGCCGACGACCCTTTACACCATGCTGAGATTTTCGAGGTGGGAAAGTATGGTCAAATTATTTATTACTAGGGATCATAATTTTCCCTGCACTTCTGGCCGAGTAAAATATGAGTGCACGTACAAATTACGAACAGAAAATGTCATTTGGGACAAAGTTGCATATGTAAATTAACACAGTTACAAAATTCTCTAACAATTTTACGACCCAACTAATGTGACCCTGTTAAAATCGAAAGTTAACAATATTCTGCAATATTTAACAATTCCCTTCCTCATCTTCTCCCTGAACGACATCCTTTCTCGATCTTGGCAGCCTATCTTTCACCTCGAAAGTGACGCCATGAGCCCCCTTCAAATGCAGGGTTAGCGCCGACTTGACCGCGAACCCTTTTCCGCACTGGTCGCAAATGAAGGGCCGCTCTCCCGTGTGCGCTTGGCGGATGTGACCCTGAAGGAAGAAAGGATTCTGAAATCCTTTACTGTAATGGGGGCATTTATGCGGGTTGGGGATGACGTAGCCCGGAGTGTGAATCCTCGTCACGTGAGTTTCCATAGTGTTACGAGTCTTGAAAGCTTTTTCGCAGTGGGGACAGGGGTATGCTCGCTCCCCCGTGTGAGTTGCCCGGTGATTCTTTAGTTGTGCCAGTCGAATAAATGAGGCGCCACATGTCTATAGATAAGTAGATAAAGAAAATTAAATAAATTTCTTGAAATACTTGTATTAATTATGAGTTCGCATGTTCGAATAGGAATATAATTCTGAAACAATTGTGAATTAAGTACTAGCCTTGGAGATGCGCAAGTTCCCAAATTTGCGTTCAAAGTTCCATAAATGGAATCTAGAAGCCCTTTTTTGCGAAATTGCAAATTTGCAACCTTGTTGTTTTCTGCTAACTCACAATGCGAACTCGTAATCAATACGCTCATTTAACTGATATAAAGATAAATCGGAGATTTTCATGAAATTTAAAAAAGCCAAACAATGGGGATATTCAGTCTCAAGTTCACATCGTCACATACATAGTTCTTTTTAAAAAAATGCAAATTAAATACTAGCTTTGGGGATGTGAATGAATTTTCCAGTCAAAATTTTTGGAAAGTTTCGCATGTACTTGTTCACTTGTTTTTTGGCTAATGATGCGAACTCGTAATGAATACCCTCAATATTTGCTAGACTTTTTACCTCGCATTTGTGCTTTTTATTTCCCGTGTGAATCTTCTTGTGTAGATTTAATCCGTACTGCGATGTGATTTTGGCCCCGCTTTTGCAAAATTGTTAAAAAATTCGTTAAAGTCAGGAAGAAATTAACTTTCAAAAAAAAAATTTTTTACCATTCATCACAAACGTATGGGTCACCGTCGTGCACTTTGATAACATGAGTTTGCAAGGAGGACAACTGTTTAAAGGTTTCGCTACAAATGTCGCACTTGACGAGGAGTTTGTCATCGTGCTTACGATTCATGTGGACGTTAAGGTCATACTCCAGGTATAAACCTAGACCACAAATGTCGCAAATAAACGGGGCTGGTCCGGAAGTGTGTGCTCGGGCGACGTGGGCGTCCAGGGAGAGACCTTGTCCGCCAAGGGCATGTCACAGTGAGGACATTTTTCCCATTTTTCTTTAGCATGGCCACGCAAATGTCTAGAATAACAGGGATTGATTTTTATACTTTTCATGACTTTAGAAACAATCGGGGTACTCACAGTTTTCTAGAAATTGGCGAATAGCTTTTTTATGCTGAAAAAGCATTTACACAAATTTACCCAGAAAATTGAAAATTTGAATGTTTATATTTTACTGAAGACAACTGTTTTTATAGTTTTGAGAAGTTTGCAAAATTGCAATTTGCGCTTCTACTGATAATACAAATCTAAATATTGATCTTAACAAATTTCCAAAATTAATTGCTCGAAACAAAAGAAATTTTACGTGAGTACCCCCATTACAAAATAAATAACACAAAGAATCGCTACCTCTCCAGAGCTCTCTTGCTCTGGCACCGCTTTGGACAAAGATTACACTGGAACGGATTAAAATGCGACAATGTCTTTAAATGTTTCTCTAAACGGTCCTCATCCTCAAATCGGCCATCGCACAGTTCACAAACGAGCGGTTTGATCCCCTCGATGTCGTGAAGCTTGACATGTCTCGCATAATTGTCCTCGAGGCAGAAACCTTTCCCGCATTTAGTGCAGAAGAACGCCTTCTCCCCTTTTTCGTGGCGAATCACCTATCAAATAAAATTTTTAATTAATACGTAATTAATATCGTGATTTTATTGACCTGAACTGAAGCAAAACTGTAGGATACATTTTATCACCTTGTGCGCCGCCAGACTACCCAGGCAAGTAAACCCCCTTTCGCAAATGGGACAAGGATAAGGCGTTATACCGTCGTGCTCCTGCTTCAAGTGGACGTTCCTCAATTTTTTGGTGGGTAAACGGGCCGTGCAGGACGGCGCGGTGCAGGGGACAACGTGATAAAGGTCGGTATGCCGGCGAAGAGTGGCCTCCGTAGAGAAAGTTTTGGTACAGAAGGGATCTGTACATTTGTGAGGGCGAGCTACGTCAGGTTTGTCGTCAACTTCGTCACTGTCGTCATCGTGAGGCTCGAGTTTGGGGGTCCACTCGTTGTCGTCGTCGTGACTCATATCCTCGTCTGATGAGTTTGATATTTTCGGAGCAGATTTTTTAATCGAAGGTTTAATACGTTTGAGGGAAACGACAAGGGATTTTTGGACTTTCTTGGGTGGAGCGGTCTGTATTTTTTTGATGCGGCGTGAGAACCGTGGCGAAGTTTGGATTAAGTTTGACTCTTCTTGTTCAGGGGGCCGAGATTCTTCTCTTCTTCGTTTAGTGCTAAATTATACATACAAATATTAGCGCATATTACTTCTCAAGCATCAATAATAATGTGTCTAATTTTTTTTTTACATATTATTAGCAAAATGTAAATCTAAAAAACTTTGCAGGAATGAATCTACTAAAATATTTTGGTGTGTCGTACCCACGGGGTTTTACTTTTTCCTCTGTTGTCTTTTTAGGTCTCCCTCTCGACCTCTTTTTTGTTATAGAAGGAATGATACAAAAGGCGCTGTCGCCATCCTCATCGTTATTTTGACCTTCGTCATAAGTTAAAGCTGCCTGAGAGTAGGAATTATCGTCGTCGCCCAAGAATTGGCCCATCGTATCACAGAGGGGATCAACATCTTGCTCTATTTTGACTTCAACTTCGTCCGCCACAAAATTGGCATCATCTAGTTCCGCATTTGCTCCTAATTAAAATAATTTTATTGTTGAACATGTATAAAAACTGATTAAATGTGCTTAAAAATGTCAACCTGACAGGCGAAGAAGCATGGCACGAATTTGTATAATTTTGTTATCTCCATAACTTTCAAGTTTGGAAGAAGTATCGAAAATGGTGGCTTGAATTTGACCAACTGTCGTCCCAATTTCTTCCTCTAGGAGTGAAATTTGGTCCTTAATTTCTTCCATTCTTCTGAAGAGAGGGTAACAATTGGTGCAAAGGTCACACATCTCGGTATCATCGTCAAATTCCGATTTGTGCGAAATTTTACTGTTATGTGCTAACAATTTGCAAAGGGTTGCTATTCTGATTTTCTGGGCGGCGTTTTCTACCGTGTGGTAGTCCTGGATAACTTGCAAACAGATAAGGCAGGACATGGTGAATAAAAAATCTGCAAAAAAATTACACAGGTGACGAATTAATTTCTTAAGTTTTGTATTTTCTAGTCAAATCAGAAATGCGAAATGTTTACAAAGTTGACAAGAGAGCAGATGATGATGGAATGGAATGGAAACTCAAACTCGCACCAAAACTTTGTCTCACGAACCCATGCAAAATATTTAAATGCACGCTTACGTATGTATGTATTAACTATCTAGCTATACTATGCACGTATACGAGGTGTACTATGATTATCTAAATATATGCAATACTCATGCTTATCGTAATGCAGCTCATCGCTGAATTAAATATTTTGGAGATTTATTTTAAATATTGTGTTGGAACCCCCAATTATGTAAATTAATATCTACGATTACAATGCACTTATGTACATATTTATTTGTAGATATGTATCTTAATGTTAAGATACTTACATATTTATGTAAGTATCAGACACTAGCTAATTAACGATATTAGGATTAAATTTTAAGATATCTCATATACATACATATGTATGTAGGTCATATAACGATGAGATCAAACCATTTCTGGTGTAATTAAGTTTTCTCTGTTAGTTAAAGCAGTTAAGGTACATATTGCATATTATCTTATCTAAATAAGTAAACAAACATACACTCAATATGGAAATATTCTCCTTTTCATACCAAACAGCTATATAGGTATACGAAAACTAATTTCCTCCAAAATATCGAAATCATAAATAATAAATTACTAATCATGGCAGTATCCGCTATCTTATCTTATGACGAAAACATCCTGAAATTTGAGTACAAATTTATCACTAAATGCGCATTAAATACCTAGAGTGGGTCCTATGGGAACCCGATCACTAGCAATTATGGCCACAATATGGTCAAAAATGACTTTTGAAATCTCAAATTTTTGCAGAATATTATAAATATATCCAGCGGCCAATTTCCGGAACAAATATGACCTAAGTCAGTAGTCAATCTCGTATTGAAGGTTCTTCTTCACGCCCGCCATTATTGCATTTTCGGAAGACTTTGCAACTTCATTACTAATTATCTCCTACCTGAATCGAAATTTTCTTAAAGTATCGAGTGTTTCACAAAGCTGGGAGTATGTCTTCTTACATATGGCCCACATTTTTTTTATTGCGCGAAGATAAGGGTTGAATGTGAGGTTATTATTTTTCAATATCAAACTGAATTTTTTTTTCCACTTCTTCCATGATAGTTTTTAAATGGTGGAATGGTCGAAGGTCGGTCCAAAAAATTACATTTTTTATTTTATGATACCTCTTTATGAAAGGAATCAGACGGTCTATTACACATTTCTGGAAACAAACCTGTGCTCCCACACAGTCCATGTGAACTTAATGGTCACAAACATGCCCAATTTGACCCAATACCAGAAAAATCGAGAATTTTTAGACACATTTTTTACAACATTTTAATTCTTCGTCTGTTTTCAGTTGAGAGATATATTTCCCATGAAAAAATTACCTCCCTGTAATTTCTGTAACGTTATTAACCACGTAGGAATCGTGGCCAATGTCAAACTTTTTTGGTGAAATTTTGCTGTAGAGCTTGGGAAGTCTTGCGTTTACCATTTGTTCCTGAGCTTCCGTATATTTTGTTGCAGATTTTTTTGCATACGTTTTGACCCACAATATGATCCTTATTCTCTTAAGTGGAACCGCGCTCGATGACCTCTGCATTTCGACCTGCTTGGTAGATATTTATAAAGTCTTTTGTAAATTGTAGGTAGGAACCAGACATGTCAGTTTTTGTTTCGATGGATTTATCGTTCTTTATTCTTGGCCACCAATGCGACTTTCCGCAACAACCCTCAAATTTGCAATTTTCACTCGAAATTCGAAATGTCCTTGCTGATTTTTCGCTATTAACGTTTGAATTTTTCAAGATTTTTGGCCTTGGGGCGAAGGCTAGAGTACATTCTATTCCACAAGGCCCAAATATTATCGATTTCTCGCAAATAGGGATGTTTGGAGGGTTTTATATTTTAAGGCCATTTGCCCAAATGTAAGCCTTGCTTGGAATTTTACAGAGAATTTAAATCTCATGTTCAACTTCTGTTGATAATCTACACTGACTGGGTTGTCCGAGTAAAAAAATGGGCTTTTTGAAGTCTCTAAGGCATTAGGATTGACGTGGGTCTCGTCATAAATGGTGATAATTTGTAATGACACTTCTCGACACAATTTTTTGCAATATTTTTGGAAAGTAATTTTTCGATATTTAACGCACTTTGCGAAACTTTGTTTAATTTTTTCTGTAATCCCCAGTTTATGTACTGAAGTGATGCAAACCACACTTTTTGAGATTTTCAGTTCCCGAGCATTCGCATGACTTTACCCTAACGTATTAGCAGTAAAGAGTTTTTTGATGGTTTCCATTTTTTTTGGGTGGGTGTGACGAGTGGTGGCCTCGAATGTTTTTTGAATTTCGCTTTTTGTCATGCTAATACATCGAAATATAAAGGTAGATTTTCGTTTTGGGACATCCTTCCGTTTTGAAGTGTTGTGACATCATGTTCGAATTACGTTAGGCGACGTTTTTTTAGTTTTGCAAAACTCGATTCGCAAGTTTTTTCTTTTCAGCCCGATTTCTATCGAATTTCGTCATTTTAGAAAAAAATGCTTTATATCCCTGAAAGCCCTTGAAGTTGTGTCTCAAAAAATAATAAAGCTAAATATCTGTCTCAACTAACTGTGAAGTAGGCTTTAAAAAAACCCAGTTCCACTTAAGAGAATATGGATCATATATAGGCCTTTATATGATACACGTAGTTTGTATTAATCATTGACTTCTTGGCCGTATCAGGCACGAACGTGGAGTGACACTTTCCTAAAATAAATTGAATCGTTTTTAACTTTCAAGGGGCCATTATGATAGTTTTTACTCATGGTGCGTACTGCAGGTCGACATTTTCGGATTCTCCATACTTTTTTATGTGTGTCTCAATTTTTGCACGCCCACCCGCTTCTCCGTTGAAATGCAGTCAAGTCTTCAAGTCGTTGTCACTCAAGTTTTGGTACTTCCAAAAACTTGATTCGCGAGTTCGTCGCTTTGAAACGGTGTAGGACGTTTGTGTTTCATTGAAAACTTATGAAATTTTGGGGGTGCGTGGCTAGATATACATATGCATTTGGCGTATTCTGCATGAATTTCAGATTTCTTAACCTATTTTTGACGACTCCGCTATTAAACTTCCTAGTGATCGGGTTCCTATAGGACCCACTCTATGTACATACATATGTACGTAATGCAAATATGGTAGAAAACCCATTGCATCAAATACCTAGAAATTCTACAATTAGTACTCAAAAACCCTACGTTCAAATGCATCAATCGTACAAAAATGTTCTCACAATTATACCAACTTTTAACCCTCTATACCCTTCCAATTTACATGTTACCCAGTTTTGGAAACTTACAAAATTTCAAATCACTCTATTGCGACTTTCGCCTACTACACGATGGTCTAGAATCATCCTCTTTTCAACCTAACGGACTCCTGGTGCCCATAACTTTACAAGATATCGCCATCTGGGCGGCACTAGGTTTCGACACTTTAGAAGACCGTCAAGCCATCTCCGTCATGAAGATGCGCCCTAACGTGAAATGCACCGTATCCCTGATTCATAGTGCACCCTACGTGAAAACGGTCCTCCCTCAGAAATTTAAATTGGAAATCTTGCGAAATTTAAGAGTTCCCGTACTCTACTATGAATCGTACACAATTCGAGTTTGGTCCGGGATCGATTCTGTGTACACTATCCTTCTAACTACCCTTCGAAGGCGGGAGTTTGTTCAAATTTTCCCGCCAACAGAACACCTTAAATATCGGGACATTAAGTCATTCGCCATTCTTTTGGTGCAAACTACATCCGAAATTTGTGTACAAATTGATGGGGTTTTACCAAATATTGATCTTATGAGGTGCCTAAATTTACAAAAGCGAGACGATTTATTCGCAATATTTCTAAGGCACGAGACACCTCCGAAATATTGGGGATTTGCGAATTATAAAACTCAGCAAGCAGGTAAACGGTTCACATTCATTTATCTATTTAATACAGAATGAATAAATTATTAATTCATTATTCAATAAATTCGTGAGTAACAGTAATGAGTGAATGGTTTTTCAAATTCTTCGAACGGATGAATATTTAGTAAATAATAATAAATAATTAAATATTATTCATTCCTTATTCATGAAGAATGAAAGAATAATTTTATTTATGCTAATTTGAGGTATAATGAGTAAAGAATGAATAATGGATAATTATTTATCTTCAAATTTCGAGTAAATTAATAATGAAGGGATATTTTTCACAACTTTTAAACTGAATGAAGGCATATTTTTTGAACAGGTATGCCCGCAATACCGGAAACTTACGACTACTCGATCAATACTTTAGTTCTACAAACTTTTACAAGGTTTAATACATCCGTTACTTTCAGTTTGACCGACATTCCTCCCGAAATTAATGAAAACTATCAAGTTGCTACTATCGAAAACGGTCTCGCATACGAAACGTTGTCCTCAACCAAACTTATAACCACATCCTTTGACGGATTTCAATTTCTGACCTGTTACTCCGAAAGTTTCCTAACTTTCAAGTTTTACATTACCCCATTCTCACCCCCGTTGTGGGCCACACTCTTAATTTGCATTATGTTAATTGTTTCAATTGTTTATTTTTACTTGATCTATTCCAACCTGTGGAGAACATTTTTCTCCCCGTGGTTATTCGTGCTTGCCACTATGTTTGATGCGTCCACAAAAATCCCGGGTATTCTAGAGACCACCACATTTATCCGATTAGTGCTCGGAATTTGGTCCTTGATCTCAGTCTTTTTAACGAATTGTTACAACGGATTGGTAATTTCTGAGCTGAACGCCCCATTTGAATCGACCAAGTTCGAAATGTTCAGTGACGTGTCTTGTTTAGAGCGGGACGTTCAAAATTTAAATGTTTCCACGGTGGTGGATCATCTTGCTATGGAGGGAGATTCCAATTCTTCTCTGTCCAAAAATCAACATTTAACCGATATTGTGTCTTATTATTTGAAAATTAGAAGATTTTATGGTCATAGAAGCATACAAGATAAGCCCTTGCG